AGGGTATTTCTCTTGTAACTTTATTTTTTAATGTTTATTTATGTTTTGAGAGAGAGAGAGAGACACACACACAGTGTGAGTGGGAGAGGGGCAGAGAGAGAGGGAGGCACAGAATTCGAAGCAGGCTCCAGGCTCTGAGCTGTCAGCACAGAGCCTGACTCGGGGCTCGAACCCACGAACCGTGAGATCATGCCCCCAGCTGAAGTCGCACGGCTGAACCGACTGAGCCGCCTGGGTGCCCCTGATACACTAACTTTTTATCTTGGTTTCACAGTTTGTAGGATATCATGATAGCTGGAATTTGTGGGGCAGGAGGCCAGGCTGCCAAGAAAGGCTGAAGGGGCTTCTGGGTTCTCCTTGGTACCACCAGACCTCTATTCGGTTGCCAGGACGACCGGTCAGGCCTTGCGGTCACTATGGCCCTGGATGGCCTGAGCACCGACTCCTCCTTGAACTGCCTCCCTGAGCATGCGTGCGTGTTGGGGGCCGGGTGGATAGAGGTGTGTGGCTGGCGGCTGAGGTGGGAGGTGACAGCAGAACCCTACCAGGTTTGCACAGAAGCACCAGGATAGCCGAGGCAGGCTCTTAGGGGACCTGAAGCTCCCGCACCCAAATCCAGCCGCCCCCCAGGGGCATGGCCCCCCCCCCACCGCATCTTTAGCAGCCCTCCATGTTCCCCTAATGCTGACCCCTTCCCCCACTCCCCTGGTCTCAGCCACGTGCAAGGCAGCTGGGGGACTGGAGTGGGTTGGAACCTCCCCTTGCCCCAGCTGCCCCCAGAGAGGTGAGGAAGATGAAGGCCTGCACAGGGTCCCCAGGAGGTAAAGCAAAGACAGGGCTCAGGACAGTGCCACCCTTCCAGCCACTTTCTCCCAGCAAGGAGAGAGAGGTCGTGGAGCTCCCCTGCCCCCTGTGGCTGTGGTCCCCTAAGGCCTGAACTGGGGGTCTCTCCCTCATAACCCAGCCAACAGCTTCCCACGTGTGATTTCTCTGCAGGCCTCGAGGCTTCCATCGGTGGCTTGACCACTCCAGGCTTCCACCCAGGGGACTTTGCAACGCTCCTAAAATCAGGGGGTCTGGGAGAGCTTGAGACTCCATTATCCCAGTCCCCACACCCTCCATGTCAGGGCATCTCGAAGCCTCTCAGACCACTTGGAAAGGGAGAGGCTCCACTTGGCGTTCCTGAGCTGCCATTGGGCCACCGCCAGGCCCTGGGTTTAGGCAGGGGGAGGGGAGAACTAGCTGAAAGACAAGGGAGGGTCTGGCCAGCTGCAGCATTTTGGGGGGAGGGTTTTTGTGCTTGTGCTTGAGGTTTGAGGGGAGCCCCTCGAACCACTGGCTGGCCCCTGTCCCGGCCCCTGCGGGGCCTCTCCTGGCCATGAGCCTCTCGTGGGACACACTCGCGTCTCCGCCTGCTGTGGAACCACCAGCCACTGTCCTAGAGCCCAGTGAGACTCGGGCAGGCCAGGCCAGCGGGCAAATTTACCCCCAAAAGCTCTGGGCCTACCGGCAAGAGCAGTCACCAGGCCCAGGCACGTGCTCGGCGGCAGACACAGGTCAGAGCTTTGCAACTTGGCTTTGAGTTAAAGTTCACCACACCGTGGGCTTGGGGACCAGGCCCGGACACAACTCTTCGGCGAAGGGTGCAGTCTGAGGGGGCCAGGGCCACAGAATCACGTACGAGCTGTGGCCCCACCAGCCACGAAAGTCTGTCCCTGACGGCGTCGCTATAGCACAGGCTCCTCCGAAGGTCCCTGAGTAAGAAGGCGGCGCATAGAAGTGGCCGACGAGCGTATGAAAAGATGCTCAACACCACCGATCATCAGAGCGCTAGAAATCACAACCGCAGTGAGCTATCACCTCACAACCATGAGGGTGGCCATTATCCAAAAACACCGACGTGGCAAGCGTTGGCAAGGGTGTGGAGAAATCGGGACCCCCCCCAACCCCGCGCTGCCGGCAAGATGGTAAAAAGGCAAAGCTACTGTGGAAGACAGTGTAGAAGACACAAGTCAACAAATTGAAGACAGAACTACCACATATCGCCCAGCAGTCCGCCTCTCTGTGTAAATCACCAAAGGAACCGAAAGCAAGGTCTCAAAGAGATAAGTGCCCTCTCCTATTCATCACAGCATTATTCACGGTAGCTAACGGGTGGAAACAACCCAGATGCCCCTCAAGGGATGGGTGGGTAAAGAGACTAGTAAATCGTTATGTTTTTTGCCACCATAAAAGACACGAGAAAGGGGTGGGGGAGCTGCGAAGGTCATTTAGTCCCGTTCTCCCAACTCACAGATGAGAAGACTGAGGCCCAGAGAGGAGCCCATTGCCCGGGTACGCAATCCTGGCAGCATTACACGAGGGCAGGCTTGGCAGATTGCAGACTGTGACACGGCAGAGCGGTGCGTAAGGCCAGCGTGTGGCTGGGCTCAGGCTCAATGGCTATGGTTGGAGCTAGCTTTTAACAGGTGGCCACATGTACCAGGAGCACTTAGAGAGGCCCGAGTGAGTTATCTAGAAAATTCACTTAAGAGGCACAACTCCCGAACGGCCGATGTCGGTTAATCCTCTCCCGACTCCAAGAGCCAAAGCCGTGAGCCCCCTCCGGAGAGCCCCTGCGCACCCCCAGAAGCCTGAAGAGCTGGGGTGGGGGCGGCTGTAAGCAGGGGAAAACGTGGGAAGCCAACTTAGATGGAAATGCGCTTCTGTCACTGCCTGACACTCAGTTTCTCCGTCTCTGGACAATAGGACTAATCCAGCGCCAGGCACAAGGCAGGTGTCTAGGAAAATGATCCTGGCTCTGGGGCACCCGGGTGGCACAGTGGGTTGAGTGTCCGACTTCGGCTCGGGTCATGATCTCGTGGCTCGTGAGTTTCAGCCCCATAAACGCTGCCTGCCTGTCAGCGTAGGGCGCGTTTCGGATGCTCCGTCCTTCTCTCTCGGTCCCTCCCCCACTGGCGCTCTCCCAAAAATAAATATTAAAAGAAAAGAAAAAAAAAAAAAGGATGCCGGCTCTGGAGCTGGTCTCATCCATTCCTATCTAGGGCCACCATTTCCTGGGTGAACTCTCAGTGCCTCAGGAGCTTTATCTGCAAAACGGGGAAACGGTACCTCCCAGGACAGCCCTGAGGGTTAAATGTGTTAGTATCAGCTACTGTTGGGAGATACTGAGGCCAGACTGCGTGTCCCTTGGTCCCTCACACGTCTCGTTGCCCACCACAACCCTCTAGGCCTGACAGGAAATCCTATCACAGGGCCAGGCAGAGCAAGTCTGGGGTGTGGGACCCGCTGCCAGGGCTCTGAAATGTTGTCTGGTGTCTCCTTGGCCCTGGGTGTGGCTTGTCCGGGGCCATGGAAGCTGGGGGCAGGGATGGGAGGAAATCTGCGAGGCTGGAGATCAAGAGGGACCAGGCTGGCGGCTGGACAGGGTGACAGGGTTGGGTGGCCTTGACAGAGTCCTGATCTACTAGCTGAGAGGCCCTGAGGCCTCAGGCTAATCGGGGCCCCTTCAAGGTATCACCAGCCCCAGCACACACGGATTTCCGAGGCTGCTATGCCCCTCCCCCTCCCCCACTGGCCTGGACCCACACCGCTACAGGTGGGGAGGGGATGTGGAATCACAAGACACCTCTCCAGGCCCACCCTGTGACTACTTTTCCTTGCGAAGAAACCATCTAAGAGCGGGAGTGGCTGGCAAGGCCACAGCCCTCATATCCCTGCCTGCCTGCCTGCGCTGCCTGCAGACATCACCAATCGATCCCCGCACCACTGTCTTGCACTCACACCCAGCAGCCCTGAGGTTTTGACTGTGAACTCCAACCTTCCATTAGAAAGAGGCAGGGAGGGGGAGCCTGGGTGGCTCAGTGGGTTGAGCATCAGACTTTGGCTCAGGTCATGATCTCATGGCTCGTGGGTCCGAACCCCGCATCGGGTTCTGTGCTGACAGCTCAGAGCCTGGAGCCTGCAGCCTGCTTCAGACTCTGTCTCCCTCTCTCTCTGCTCCTCCCCCGCTCATGGTCTATCTCTCTCCGTCTCTCAAAACTAAATAAACATTTAAAAAAATAATAAAATAGGCAGGGATACCAGAGGGGGATCTGCCCAAGGTGCCCCTGAGACGGCTCCACTCTCCCCACAGGAGGCCACCCCGCAGGGGAGAGGAGGTGGGGATCGGCCCTGCTAACCCACAGCCCCACGGACTGGACCCGCTGGAGAAGACTCGAGTGGTACTCCCTACAGCAATCCCTTCAGGATTTGGGCCTAATCCCAAGCACGAGGGCGGGCTAGGGAAGGATTTGGTTTCATTCCTTCAGATGCCCAAGCCTTGGCCTGAGCCCCAGGGCGGAGGAGTGAAGGCGCGTGGCTGCCCAGCCTCTACCAACAAAGCCTTCCTTTATTAAATAGAGATCGTGTTACATTCCATTCAAAGGAGGAAATCGGCCACGGTGAGGGATGTGTCCAGGTTGGACCCCGGTCCTGAGTGGGCTGTGAGGGGCGAGGAGGGGCCTGCGTCCTGCCCACCCTCCCCCGGTCCTGTGTACAGGGCTTGGCGACCTCAGCCCCCACTGTCTGAACGGCCACCCACAGCTGAACACAGACACGGTGTCCTGAGGCCCTGTCTGTATTTTACTTCGGGAGCAAAGTATCCTAATCCTTCCAGTGGTGGGGGCAGGGCCTCCAGGAGCACAAGGCTCAGATGGAGGAGGGGGGGAAGGTCAAGTGCGAGGGTGGGAGGAGGGGCCCTGATCCATCTTAAGAACAGTTTGGGGTAGTTCTCAAGCAGATGGTGTGCAAGTCCTTGACAGCCCCTTGTGGCCGCACTGCCCCCACGGGAATGGGGGAGGGATGGCCACACGGGGGTGCTGGTGGCCCAGGGCTTGGGAACCGAGGTGGGAGATACCCTGGAGGTCAGGCCACCCAGTGTGAGCCCTTTCTGAGGACATCACAGCAACAAGGTGACTGCAAGCAGCAGCTCCCAGGCCTGCAAAGGGGGTGCTGAGCCCCTGAGTGTGGGTCCAAGCTCCTTGGTCTTTGGTGCCTTCTTGAAAGTCTCCTGGTGGCTGTAGGGCCACTGGGGAAGGGCGAAGGGTCAGCTCATGAGGTCCTGTCTTTCCCGGGATGAAGATTTGGTACCGGCTCAGCAAGGCCTCCATGGCCTGGCCATCTGTCCATCTGCTCGGCTTCTGGCTCAGGGCTGGCGCCAGGACCCTGTCTTCCTGTCTGTCTGTGCCGGGGCAGGTGTTGGCTGTGGCTCAGAGCCCCCCTCCAGGCTCCGGCCATGCCCTAGGCCTCCTGGGGAAAGAAGCCAAGCTTGGCCAGCGACATCTCCTTCCGCAGCCTCGTGATCTCCCAGAACATCGGCTCCGCTGCAGGCAGAGAGAAGGTGGAGGGCTCAGTGACAGGGTCACCTCAGGCAGATGGTCCAGCCCCCGTTCCCTAGCTTTGGGCAGGGCAGCTGGCAGGTACCCTAGGGCTCCCCGGTCCCCCAGGACAGATAACCTCAGTAAGTGGCTGGACCTCTTACAAGCGCCACGCTGAGGCCTTGCAAACGGTTGAGGGCTGAACCCACTCTGCACCGTACCAGTGGGAGAGGTGACACCACCCCTACGGCCTGACACCCACCCACACAAACACGCTGCCACACATTTGGTGGTGATTTCCAACCCGTATCCTTGGGGTCTCAGAGACCCCGAGCAGTCAGCAGAGCCATGGATTCAGCCCAAGATCCCCTCCAAGGCCTTGACCCCCAAGCTGGGGAGGAGAGGCTCAGACTCCAAACGGATTGGGCAGCAGGGAACCGAGTTTGGAGGAGGGGCGGGAAGCTAGACCTTGCAGAATAGGGCTGAAGGGGATAACAGGTGGATGCAGGACCAGCCCTGGCAAGAGTGAAGTGGGAGGCAGCGTTCAGTGTCAAACGACCGGCCGTGAGGAGGTTACCCCCAGCGGGGAGGAGATTCACAAGGGACACTCCATCGTGCAAAGTTTCTGATGCCAGGCCGGTAACAGGGAGCCCCGGGGCCTGGGAGAGGTTGCTGGGTGGGAGAAGGCAGCCGGACCCGGCAGACCCTGGCAGGGTCGTCCCCTCTGTCAGGGCAAAGCCCAGCCGGTCGACCCCTCAGATGCTGGCCCGCCCTCTCGCTGCCCCCATCCCTCCCAGGCGCTGCCCTCGCCGGCCACCAGGGGGCGCTCACCTTCCTGCCGCACCAGGCCTTGCTGGATGTAGCGGATGTAGGTGAGGAAGTTGCACACTGCGGTGATCTGTGGACACAAGTGAAGAGGCTGTGACCTGCCAGCCCTCACGCTTAGGGTCCCCCCAAGAGCCAGGGCAGGTCGGAGACCCGAGCCACAAATCCCACATTCCATCAAAGCTAGATAATGAATGCTCCCTGAGTGGCACAGGACCGGGCTCTCAAATTTAACTGCCAACAGTGGTATTAGTCCTGCTCCTGGGAAGAACAATAGCAGCAGCTAACGTTTAACCCGGTACGCGTATCCGAGTGAGGCAGACATGCCTATCATTCCCAGTTGACCCAGGAGGAAAGCAGAGACTCCAAGAATGAAGCCACCGGACAGCAATTATAGAGGCCACGAAACAGTCAGTGGCTGAGCTGGAAGATGAAACCAGGTGGCTTGCCCTAGAAACCACACTCGTCCCCAGGCAGGCCTGCCTGCTCTGGGCGCTGGAGGCCCCGGCCAGCCAGGCCTTGGCCCAGTGCTCCTGGTAATGCCAGATGGGACAGGGGGATCCGGAGCTGCTCACCGGGGCTGCCCTGGATCCCTAGGCCTGAAGCACCCAGCTTGGCCTGAGGCCTGCTCCATGTTGGGCCCTGTGCTGGGCACCGCAGACCCCAAGTTGGCCCTTCCACGAAGACTCACATACCGCAGAGAGGGTGCTGCTGGTACCTGCCCAGGCCCCTTCCCCAGGCTGGGGCCCCCTCTCCCCACTACTGAGAGGGTCGTCCACTAATGGCTCCTAGGTGCCCCTCCGTCCCCCCGTCCCCTGCATGCCACAGCCAGCGACTGGCCCACATGCGGTGTATAAAAGGTCAGCCCCCTTGCCTCAGGGTGGAACCCACTCTGGGCTCCAGGGCCCCCACGGATCAGATTGCAGCCAGACTCCAGCTGAGGCCGGACACTCCTCTGCCCACCCTATCCCGCATTCATGCCTCCTAAGAATAGCATAAAATCTTCGTCCGGGGCTCAGCTTCTAGGGAACTCAGCCTAAGAAAGGGCAGAGGGTAGCTGGCAGCTGTGCCCACGGCAGCCTGTACTGAATGTCCGGCGCCTGGGGGCAGGGATGTCAAGCGTGTGGGAACCCGCAGGGTCCAGAGTTGCAGGGAGGGGACAACACCCCTGGGCCCTCAACCACGTAGGAATCCTGGCCAACAGGACGAAGCAGGCGCAGGGGGGTCAGGGCAGAGGTCGGTGCAGGAGAAGCTTGTGGGCCAGGCCGTGGTGTTTCCCAGTGGCCAGCGGGCCCCCACAGGAGGCTGGTGAACGAGGTGTGGCACCGAGCAGGGAGGTTCTCTCCCCAGGGCTGCACTTTGGGGACACAAATCTCTTCTCCCTGTGGATTCCACACTCCTTGGTCTCTTCGGAGTGTGGGCACCACATCCTGAAACTTCACACCCTTCTCGTCTCCCATCCCAGCTCTGCCCAACGCAGAGACATAGCAGGCCTGGAAGAAACAAGGTTCTAGAGGTAGTTTTGCCAGGCACGGAATGTCTGGCGCAGATCCTTCTGGTGAGCCCTGGAGGGGCTCAGGAAAATGCCACCGGACAGGGCTCTGGGCACAGATGCGTGGGGCGGAGGCTGCAGCGAAGGGGGACTGGGTTCAGAATGGGGAGCCTCCGGGTCTAGGCTGTACCCCCTCCTAAGGCATAGACTCCCCATATGCAAATGGGGCTCAGCTCACTGCCGTGGGGGTGGCCAGGACAACACATTGGACGCCCTGCGGGAGCTGTCGTAACCAGACAAGCTGCCCAGCAGTGGGACCATCTGTCCACTCTGATCCCTGTGAGGAGCCTCTAGTAGGTTGAGGGCAGGAGATGGTTCCTAAAGGAGGACCCACCCACACTGTGTCACCTTTGTACCAAGCTTCAGAACCTTCTCACACATTCTCTTTGGCTCCTTACAGTCCTGTTCACAGTCTGTGAGGGGACAGAGGAACGAGGACCACCCGACCCCTGCCCCCAGCTCAGTGAGGTCCACTGACGCAGCCCGGGCCACTTGGCATGTGAGGACGGAAGCTGGGATTCCCGGAGCCCTCGTGGCACCTGCCACTGACAGTCACGCTCGAGTAACAGACGTGCCTCAGAACGTTCTCAAGAGCCTGGGGCCAGAGCCTGAGCTGGGAGTCAGGAGCCTGGAACTTTAACCTGAACTCTAATGTCACTCCCATGGTTAGGTTTCGGCCAGCACCCAGGTCCCTCAGTCCTTCACCCCTAGGAATTGAGTCTTGCCGATGGCCATGGGAGCTCAGAAGAGGACCACTATCCCCAGGAAGGAAGCAGCCAGCCTACCCCTTGACTGGAGCCTCTGACACCCTGAGCAGAAGATCCAGCTAAGCTGGGCTGACTCCTGCCCCGGGGAGACCGTGATGATAAACAGGTGTTGTTTTAAGCCACTAAGTTTATGGTCATTTGTTTTGCAGTAATGACAAACTAATTCACCAGGCTCGGCTGTGTGGCCCCAGTCAGTCTCTGTACCTCTCTGAGCCTGTGCCCTGCTCTGCAGATCAAGGTTGTGCTCCCAGGCCTGGAGCCCGGAGCCCCAGCCCAATGTGCCCCTGAGAAGCCAAGTGACACTCCCATTAGATGACTTACCCTGGCCCGGGAGGACGGTGAGATGTAATAGTGATTCTCTGAGTCCCCAAGCCGGATTCGGTGGCGACAGGCACGAGCCAGCCCGCTCAGGGCACAGGTACTAGAGGAAAGCAGAGGGGGCCTTGGAGGCTGGCTGAGGCTCGCCCACCCAGCTCACGCAGGCAGGACGCAGCAGCCAGAAAGATGCACAGAGGGAGGGAGAGGCAAACAGACACGGGGGGTGGGACCTGGCAGCCCCTCCCTCGACCCCAGCTTCCCAAGGAGCCCAGGGCCAGGCCAAGGAAGGGGCAGCCCTAGAAGTCCCTGGGATAGATCTCGGAACTAAGCTGGATCCCACCCCTAAAGCCCTCACCTCGCCACTGTTGGGCAGGAGAGTTCAGTCAACCTCATGCCGGGTGTACCAAAGCTCCACTCTCTGCAGTCTGCCTACTTTATCGGGACCCTCAGACTCAGTGATGCCCTCCCCAGCTAAACAAGAGTCTTCTCTCTCCTCCACTCTGTCACCAAGTCCCCAGGCTAGGCCACGCAAGGGGCCTTTTGCCTGGATCCTCTCAGCTCCACGTTACAGCCAGGGGCTCCTCCAAAAGCCCGTATGTAGCCCATCATCTTTCCCCACTGCTTTGCTACTGCCCAGGAAACCGTTATGGAGAATCCAGAGCAGAGGAAGGTAAAGTAGGCTCCTGGGGTGCAGGACTTATCAGTGCCTTTGCTGCCTCCAGATTCACTGTGACTCTGACTGCACTTGGCAACCCTCTTTGCAGGGTACATCTACTGATGAGCTTATGAAATGCTGGCCTAGTGGGTCAAAGCCCAAACTTCATTCAAGGCCCTTTACACTCTGGCCCTCCTGTGTGGCCTCAGCCCCATCCATCTCGCTACCCACGCCACCGCTCTGCAAACCCAGTGATGCTTCCATTCATACCGTGGCCTCTCACACCTTCACTCATGTTGTCCCCTCTGCCTGCAAGGCACATCCCTACTTGGCAAACTGCCACTCATCCTTCAAAATGGCTCAAATATTCCCATGAGTGACAAGACTCTCCCCAAGGGGCCTCCCTGGCAGGTCAAATCCTGGGCTGCCAAGGGAAAATGCTCCCTGTCTCTGCCCCTTGCTCTACCAAGGCTATTTTGTTCTGCTGCGAGCCCTGCTCGATGCCAGCTGAGTAGCAGGAAAGCCAAGACATGAGGGCTGTTTGGTTATTTATTAGCAGCAGGGGAGCCAACAAATGACTTCACTTACATGTCAGTCGGGGCCCAGAGCCCATTGTGGGAGAGAGAGTTGGGGGTGGGAGAGGGATGTCTGTCAGGCTGGGAAGAGGGAGACTCCAGCTCCCAACCCCCCTGGATGGTCTGGGGGTCCGTGACTAAAGGCAGCAACTTCTGCCAAAGATTCCTCCCCGCAAAGGACCGGGGG